TATGGAATGACGTTTTGCTAAGCTAGCTGTATAAGATTTATAAACTCCTTAAGCATGAGTTAGCCCCAATATGTGTTTACATATCATGATATTTTCTTATAGGTGAAAGCGCTAGTACACTTATTGAAAAAGGTATTGGAAAGAGCCTACCTAAACCTTTGTAGGAAGGTTTATTAGCGGTTTTAGGAGATAAGGTAGACGGGAAAAATACCACGACACCACCGATTCAACCGGAAATTGCAGAAAGATGGATACACATCGCAAAAACCGGCCTTGAAGAACCCGTTCTTAACCTATTAATGGAGAAGTACCCCTCTCCAGAGAATGCCACCTCTTTAGGACCACCACAGTTAAATTTAATGGGGAAACAGGCCATACATGATAATGTGGAGTGCAGAGATGAAATTGGCTAAAATTCAATCAAGATTAGCAGCCAGTTTGTCGGCTATAGGCCAAGTAATGGCAAAAATTTTAGAGGAAAAAGGAGAGGAGGGAGAAAGGAATATAAAGCATTATATAGAGACCCTAAACGACACAGAACGTTTTATAACTGGTGTTATCCATTCCGAGTCAATATCGAGGAGGGAACTAGTGTCTTTCGATTTAAATAAAAATTGGAAAACCACTCTAACTTTAATCCCCTTTGGATACCTGTTATTTGGTGAGGATTTGGAAGGAAGGCGGAACTACTCATCCAGTCAGTTAAAGACAGCCAGATCTACTCCACGCCGCATTTAAATTCAAATGTCTGCCTCAACATCAGCAGGGAGGGAAACAGGACAGACTCAATGTTCGAGAAACTTCCTACAACCGCCCACGTCAAAGGCGGACCTGGAACCGAATACAACACTTCGGCGTAAGGTCGCGTTCTCAGGGAAGATGTATAGGGATAATAGATGTATTATGGCATGGTTGCAAGGTTTTAAAATTCCGTTTGTGATGAGACCATCACATAACATAATCTCAGGTAGACATAAATGGTCGGTGCAACAACATAAGACAATTGAGGGCAACATTCGGAGATTGCTTAGTATAGGGGTTATTTCTAAGGCACAGCCATGTAAAAATCAGTTTATTACAGACATATTCACGTTTCAGTTGTTTATTTAGATGATTTTTAATTACTAGGAGATTCTTATGATGCATGTTTAGCAAATGTATTAGAAACAATTGGACTACTCGAATATGGGGTTTATTGTAAACTATAAAAAGAGTATTATCTCCACAAAAAATTGTGACGTTTTTGGGGTTTAAATTTAACTCTATGGATATGACTATTTCTGTTCAAGGGGAAAAAATCACAAAAATAATTTTGCATTTAAAAAAGTTTTTAAGATGGAAGAAATGCACTACAAGGGAGTTTGTAAGGTTAACAGGGAAGTTGGTATCCATATGTCCAGCCATTAAGTACGGTTATTTATATACCGAATTGTTTCGAGAGAGAAAAAATTTTAGCGTTAAAGAGTAATAAAGGAAATTATAACGGAACTATGAAAATTTCTAAGAAGTTATGTGTTGATACCGATTGGTGGATTCGAAACATACCTATTAGCAAAAACTTATTATCATATAGTAAATATTCTATGGAAATATTCTCTGACGCATCAGATATTGGATGGGGTGTTTGTTGCAATAACATAAGTTCTCAAGGTCTCTGGCCTACCTACGAATGAGAAGAACACATACATTTTAGGGAGTTAAAAGCTGTTTATTTTGGCTTGAAATGCTTTGTTAATGACTTATCTAACGTTTCTAGTTTGTGCAGGGTACACAGTGTTGTCTACCCTATATGCCAGTGCAGTAGTGTTACTGCACTGGCATATATATTACATAGAACATAAAGTGTTCAATTTCAAGTTAAACAATCTCCCTCGAATAATTTGGCAATGGTGTGAGGAAAGGAGATTATTTATCGTAGCCTCTTATATTAGATCTCAAGAGAATAAGGAAGCTGACAGGGCTTCCCGGGAATTTAAGGTCGAGACAGAATGGAGTTTAGCGAGCTGGGCATTTGGGAAATTGGTCACTATAAGTGGGGTTTACCGGAAATAGATTTGTTTGCTACGCATATAAATGCTAAATGCAAGAAATACATATCGTGGCACAGGGACCCAGATATGTACGCCATTGATGCCTTTACAACAAATTGGGAAACATTTTATTTTTTGCTTTCCCTCCATTTTCAATGGTCCCAAAGGCTCTGCAAAAAAAAATTTATTTCTGATCAGGCAGAAGGTATAATGGTTGTACCCAACTGGGTTTCGCAACCTTGGTATTCGGTTTTAAGGGCGATGTTAATAGATGAGCCGATTATTTTTTTTAAATTAATAAATATTTACTTCTTTTAGCGGATCTCCCCACCCGAAGGTCCGGCTATCGGGCAAGCCTTGCTCTTAGGGAATGTTCCAGAAGAAGCGCTGGAAATTTGCATGTCTTCAATAACAAGTAACACCTTGAAACAGTATAACTCAGGGCTTAAATAATGGTGGGAATTTTGTAGCGTTAAGAACTTAGATCCCTTCTCGGTTTCGGGTTCCAACGTTCTAATATTTTGACTCAACTCTTTAACGAAGGCGCATCTTTTAGCTCATTAAGTTCTTATAGAGCAGCCATAGCACAGATAGCGGGCCCAGACCTCTTACAAGATTTTCGTATGCAAAGGTTTTTAAGGGAATATATATGTTGAGACCTAGTAAGCCCAAGTACGAAAATACCTGGGATCCTACGTACGTAGTACTTAATTATTTAAAAATAAAAAATAATTATGAGTTAACCTTGGAGGGGCTTACGCATAAATTAGTGACATTACTGGCCTTAGCATCGGGTCAACATTTACAAACACTATCGCTTATTGATAAAAGGGAAATTTTTCGGAAGTTAGGGGAAATACATATAAAAATTAGCGCAAGATTAAAAACATTCGGTAGAAATAAGCCGCAACCCTTTTTACGCTTACCTTATTTCAAGAAAGACGCTAATTTATGCGTAGCTAGCACGTTAGTAGAGTATCTGAAACGAACAGAGAGCATTAGAGGAAGTATAACTTCTCTTTTCGTAACAATCAAGAAACCGCATAAGAAAACATCCACTCAAACCTTGGGGCGCTGGATTAAAATTGTCCTAAATAAGAGTAGGATTGATACGGATCATTTTACCGCTCATAGTACACGGCATGCTGTAACTTCAGCAGCTGCCAGGAAAGGGTTAAATTTTGATACCATCAGACTCGCTGCTGGTTGGTCTAAAAATTCTAGAATGCTCGCTACTGTTTACAATAGATCCTTGATGGATAATGAGAATAGTTTTGCTGAGAAATTAATCTTTATATATTTTCAATATAGAAATGGGAGAAAAGATTATGTTGTTGTTATTACTTTAAAATCTACATTGTACTTATTTATGAGACGAGACCGTATATAATCACAAGATTAAACGAACTTACCTGAAGTGAAGTTCAATCTTGATTATATGAAGGTCTCGTCGAAAATAAATAAGTTCCCTCCCACCCTCAACCTCAATTTACAACAACATAATAAGTATCTTTAAATTGACTAAATAAGAAATGATGCAAGGGCATATAATGAGGTAAGGGAGCAGGGAAGCGAGGGGCATGTTGAAATTTGTTTGTTTAGGCTTTAAAATGTGTGGTCGCAGTACGCAGAAAAGGGTACTACATTGTACTTATTTATTTCGACGAGACCTTCATATAATCAAGATTGAACTTCACTTCAGGTAAGTTCGTTTAATCTTGTGATTATAGCTTATATCGCTGAAATGCTTAAAAATGGCGCTTTTATGAAGTCATGGCCAATTATGGTTTCCATTTAAAAAAAACATATGTCTGTGTCATCATGTCAAAAATGACAGGCTTTAGAAAAAATCTGAAAACACAAACTCATTAGGGATGTGATTACCTACAACTTTTATCTCAAAACTTTTTGTCTATAAAATAGATTATAATGAAATTAGGGACAATTTTTAAAATACCAAAATTTATTTTTTTCGAAATATCTAGGTAGTAAGCCATGAACTTTTACAAAAATCTGAAGGGCGCATATTTATGACCCTATAAAACTGCAATTCTTTCCCCATTTAACCGACTCACTATCTCCAGTAGTTTCCGAGGTACCCATAAAGAACATCTTAGGAAACTCACCCTGTATAACTATAGGATATACAGGGTGAGTCTTAAATAAGTGCAAATACTTTCAGGGCTAGCAGATCTCGATAAAAGAAACATATTTTCTCTTTACCATTTTTCAGATAAGTCCAAAATAATCGAGTTACTTAGGTTTGAAAAATAAAAAAAAATTGATTTTCTTTGAAAAATCTTAAGGGCCACCGGATTTTTTCTGTATTTGCATCCCTTTTATTGCCGTAATCATAGAGTAAAGCCGTAACTATGGTAATATCAGAGATTAAGATATTATACCGTGGGAAAATTTGCAGTGAACAGCCGGTTCTAAAAAGTTTTTGAAAAATATACAGGAAAATTTAAAAGAATATGCATGATTTTCAACCTTTTCTTTTAGCGAAAAAACCTCATAGACGTGTTCCTGAGGTCGAAATATACCACCCCTGAAAATATTTGCACTTATTTAAGACTCACCCTGTATAATGTAGGTTATATAACAGTTGCAGTAACTATTATAAAAACAAAAATGTTTATTGGGATGGTAAATGACGTTTAGAGATTGGCCTCGCCAAAATTATCATCGCTTGTCACTCACAGCCGTCATTGACGCCTTTTTTTCGATCGTGCGGTACTTTAACTACTGAAGTCTTTAAATAGAGAATAGTTTTCTTCCAAAAAGACATTTTACGATCAAATCTTGTTCTTGTTGTATCGGTGAAAGGCTCTGACCAGCATCCACTTGATTCTGGAAAATCCGGAGGCCTCCCGGACAAAAAGTCCGCCGTTACGACGGATGGAAGAGAGAAAAGAATAGGAGCAAGTATAACATATAAAGCTATCAGCGTGGCGCGCCGCCTACAGTCGCTTTTCAGCCATCGGGTGGTTCTTCGGACGCGACAGTCATTCGCTAAAACCCGTCCGCATCTCGCACGCGTAAACACCGTTGTGATTGGTGCATTTATTTTTTTTGGTTCATACTGTAGATATCTATAAAGACATCAAATAATAAAAGGTAACATTTTAATGTAAATGGCGAGCCAATTAAAGTTTCACTGAGTGTCATTTCCAAGTCCAATTTTTGATATTATTTTGGTTTACTTTAGTGATGAGCAGATGCAAGACCAAGACCAAAACTCACTAATAGTAGTCTTGGTCCTGCAGGGTCCAATCTTCGTCTTGTTGCAAGACTCTTGCAAGTACTTTTTTTATAGATTTTACTAGAGGCACTTTCTACATAGAAAATATTTAAAGAACTAGTTTTTTAAGTAATATCATTATTATATCACTTTTCATTATTTTTTTTTCATTATTTGTATCACTTTTTGAGAAAGAAACACATTTATCCCAAGAAAATTTTTATTTTTCAATATACAGGGAAGTCCGAAGTGTAATCGGGAATCTTTGGCACTATATTCTGCAGATAAAAATAAGTAAAAAATGTATGTGTTAAAATGCTTCGTTTCGGAGTTACAGGGTGTAGAAATTTCATTTTTATTTCGGTTTTTTCCAAATAATTTCTGTACTAACGTCGATATCTGGATGAATATTGGTGTCTGGATGTTTCTTGACATGATAAATTCGATTTCGATGTTAGTATGTGGCCCTAGTGGCCCCACTACTTGGAGCCACTAGGGGCCGCCCCTTACGTATTTTTACTGTTTTGAAGAGTAATACCTTTTCGTCTGTAGGTACTTGTATTACGCTGCTGAAATAAATATTGATAATTTTTGTATTTTTGATGGTTTTTTTGATTATTTTTTTTTGATTTTAAATACTTTTTATTAGCCAATCATTCTTTGATTTTTTTTTCTACAAAGTACCTACTTGTGAACGTCTGATCTTAGAAATTTTATAATAAAATACATCACAATCTAACATTATCCTGATGCAAGTGCCAACAGGGTTTTCAGATATATTCAGTAGTAAAATTCGAGGTAATAGAACATTTTAAATGTACAATTTTTCAGAAGGTTTTACCTGAACTGTCAGAAAATGAAATAAAAATAAACAAAAGACAATTATAAAGTTAATAAAAATTTATAACTTTACTTTTTATCGCACTAAATATTTCTGAAAGCCGTGTACAGGGTGAGTCAAATTGGACGCTTTCAAAGAGAAACACCCTTTTCTACAGGAGATAGGCGAAAACTAATATAGGTGTCTGGAGCACTTTTTCAATTTTTATCAAAAACATGACGAGTTACGGGGTCAAAAATGTGCATTTTTAAAAAATTGCTGTAACTTTTTTGCTATGAAAAATTTTGTATTTTTGTGAAAACATTTTCAAAACCCCTTTTTACGTAGAATTTAATGGTTTAAGTATATTTTTTTTAAATTAATAATTTAAGAATTATCAACAGAAAATTTGATTTTTTATATGGGACACCTTGTATATTTTTAATTCATTGCAAAGAACTTCATTTTACCTTTCCAAAAATGTAGCATATTAGATATTTTCATCTTCGAGATATAGAGTTTTTAAAAATTCGCCTACTTTGAATAAGTAGGCTTTGAACGGCGCCAGCTGTAATGCAACAAATTGTAGCTGTGAGCAGCAATTAAAACGAAAATAATATTTGCAATTGCAATGAGAGATCCAGAATTTTATATCAATTTAAATTTAAACTATATTTAACAACATCAACACATTTAAACTATATCTAATAACAATAAAATTAATAGCAAATCAAGACATGAGATTTTGCTACAGGTGTTCGAGCGTCTTCTGTTATGGACAGGCGGGACTGTTTTTGAATATTTCTCGCGGAATTAATTAACTCAGTGGGGGTAAAAGATACCCTCGCATAACGGCTAAGTACTTCTAATTCTTGTCTAGATTATACGGGTAATTTAAAAATAAGAATTATTTATTCTTTCTCAAAGAGAAAAATCCACTAAGAATAACAGGCACTAAGTCCGGCGGCTTCGACGGCCATCGGCTGGATACTTGGTTACCTATTCAGTTATTATTCTTGAAATTAGCTGAAAAAAATTGCTCATAACTTCAGCGTTCTGTGGCGGTGCCTCGTCTTGCTGGAAACATTTGTATTCGAGTTCCATTAGGGGCAGATCATCAATAAGGGGTCCAAAGCCTACTAGTTAAAAGTGGCGAATTTATAAAAATGCTGTATTTCAAAGGGGACTATAACAAAATATGAAGTGTGCTATATTTTTGGAAAGGTAATTTTAAGTTCTTTTCACTTAATTAAATATATATATATATATATATATATATATATATATATATATATATATATATATATATATATATATATATATATATATATATATATATATATATATATATATATATATACAAAGGGAGGTTATCGTGGAAACTATATTTATAGTTTCCACGATAACTTTCCTTTGTTTATTGTTTTCTCTGGGCCAGGGTGATAGCGGCGAGGTGTGTTGGAACGCCTCCGCGGCGGTTTCGGTAGTAACGCTTCAAATTGTAAGCTACTGCCGGACCAGCTGCAAATGGCGCCTTTGTGCCTCGTTTGCTTCTCCTTTTTTCTTTCTCTTTTTCAGGATCGCTAGTTCATCGTTGCTGATTCCTCCTGTATTGATGAAGCCGGAAGGCAGAAACACTGAGTGTCTACGGGTAGTCATGTTTTAGTCATGTATCATGACTAATCTTTCTGTGGACTTGCCCAATAAATTCTTTCTTTGTATATATATATATATATATATATATATATATATCTATATATATATATATATATATATATATATATATATATATATATATATATATATATATATATATATATATATATATATATATATATATATATATCCCAAACTAACTCTTAAATTATTAATTTTAAAAAAATTATATTTAAACCATTAAATTCTACGTAAAAAGGTGCTTTGGAAATATTTTCACGAAAATATTAGGAAAATATTTACAGCGATTTTTTAAAAATGCACATTTTTGAGAAACACCCCGTAACTCCGAAACGGTAACAGATATCGATGTGCGGTTTTCACCATCAAGTTTTTGGTAAAAATTGAGCTCTAGACACCGATATTAGTTTTCGTCTATCCCCTATAGAAAAGGGTGCTATAGGGTGTTTCCCTTTAAAAGCTTCCAATTTGACCCACCCTGTACATGCACTGAAAAAAATGCTTAGAAGTTTACAGTTAAGGTTGGAACTTGGAATCTTTGGTGTTACATCAACAAAATAAAACACTAATTCACCACAGTACACAAAACATGATGATGATTAAAACTAGATTCGATTTTAATCATTTGCTGATGATGCTAACATGGTTAGCAAAACGATCGTCCAGTGAATAAAGTGTTTTGGTGTATTACGGTTTATTTTTAAAGTGAAGTAGTGTTTTATTTTGTCTAGAATTATATTTGAAGAATTTTTTCAATGCCCTGATTAAAGTAATTGGACCATGGGAGTTCAAAAAAAAGGTAATACCATATTCAACATACTGTATATAAATTACCAAGCCTTATAAAATTCTAGTTCTAGTCTAATTATTTCAAAGTCAAACCTTAGCCTAGCGTACGCAGAAAAAATAGTTACGTGTGATTGACGGCCAGCTGTCTTTGTTCGTTTACCCGATATAACTTATAACCTTGAAACGCAATACCATATAGATATAGATTTATGTAGAAATTGTTGTTCTTACGGTTTTAACATACCTGCGAAAATGCTACCTATTTTCAAGTCAATAAAAAAGTTAAAAATATTAAAAACAGTGCTATTTATTGTGTAAAACAATGACCATCATGTGTTAAAAAACACTGGGAAATACGGCATTTATTACCTTTTTTGTAAAATGTTATTGTTTAGTTTTTAATTTTATATATTACTAATTAATTTTATTTATTATTAACTGTTCCTCAATTATGATTATAAAATTCGTTTCTTTATTCATATAATCTAAACTCACCGGCATGGGCACGTTAAAATTTTGATGTAGGTACTTTAGAGTTTAATATATTTTGTTCTAGTGGGCCGAATATGCAGCTAAAATATTTGACTTTTCAAAATTAAAAATGAAAGTCTCAATCTGTCAACTATACGAGGGAAAACAAAATGTTGATATTTTGATGAGAGTTTGAAACACCCTGTGGAATATGTTAAGGCAGTAAGCATTTTAAAAATTATTTTGTCTTCTAGATACATCCTTTCTCGATAGTTTGTTATTTGGTTCATCTCACTAGCTTTATTTTTGTTGGAGATATTCGCTTTTGAAAAAGACACTAACATTTTTTCGATATTTTTACATTAAAAGTATACTTTTGCATTCTTCACATCAGGGACTTATTTTACACGGCTCACTTACACACGGTTTAATTAATTCTATATTGGATAGGAAATATTTACATGTATGTAACTCAATGACAAATCAACGAGTTGATATGATGAGAAGCGACAACATAGATATTAGGCGCATATGGTCAAAAATTGTCCCACGCGCAGTTGTGGTATTAAAGATCAAATTAAAGAAATTACTTAATTTATTAATAATTAAATTATTAAATTTACAAATTAAAAAGTTTTGGAAAGTGGTTGCCTGGAGAAGGATTAGTGATTTTTATCAGCAAGATGTAAATGGCCTACTTGAATCACATATTGTAAAGGGTGGCATAATTTATATCATTATTTAGGGCATTTTTTAAAAATATAGAGAGTTCTACAGGGCGTCCCTAAAAAAGTTAGGTATCAAAGTTGTTTTTTTTGTAATGGAACACCGTATATATTAATTCATTAAAGAGACATATCTCTAAAATGTAAGGTTTTTGACATACTTCACATTATGTGAAAATGAAGAATAAATTTTACATTTCAATAACAGCTACCTAAATTGTAATTTATCCTGTATAGCCTGATATTTAGTTAAAATAATCACTGTATATGAAACCAAAATAAAATTTGACCCGAAAAGTTATACAGGGTGAGATTACCAGTAGACGTACTTTAAAGAAGCATATCTGGAGTTCTACTTCGAAAAGCAGTGACAATCATTCCTCTCATGTAGTCTGTCTTACACTGTCTCTGACATATCTCGATAAAACAAAAGTCCAAACCAGATAAATCGGGAGCATTTAAAAATTCTGTTAATTGGTGAATGCACACTGTAGTCACCAATTAATAGATAATCATATCAAGTCTCTCTGATGTAGGATAAGTTTCCATTTTCGGCAAATTTCTGGAATTTTTGTTATTTTGACTGATACAAAATGATAACTACTTATTAAAGGTGAACTAATCTGACAACTATGTTAAACTAACGTCAGGTATCTCACAACCACCTAGATTTTATAAAACAATAAAGATCTACTAACACTAAACCATAAACATGAAAATATCTATGAAAATCTTGTTTGAGGGATAGGCAAAACCTTTATAGTTTTTTGAAAAGACCTGAATTCCCCGTTGAATATCGGAATAATATACTGGATGTTAATAATGTGGTCATGATGTGACCAATGTTCAATATTAATTTTGTCACCCTATATAACTTTTTTGGTCAAATTTTAATTTTATTTAAAGAACAATAGTTATTTTAACTACATATTAGGCTATGCTAAGTAAATTCCAATTTAGGTAGTCTTTATTGAAATCTAAAATTTATTCTTCATTTTTAGAAAAGGTTAAATATGTCAAAAACCTTACATTTTAATCATATATTTCTCTAATGAAACTCACCATTATTTTTCTGCTAGAATCCGAAAATCAAATAATATATAGGGTGTTCCATTACAAAAAAAAACTTTGATGTGTAACTTTTTTTGGGAACACCCTGTAAAACCCACTATATTTTTAAAAAATGCTAAACCTTATGCTCACAAAATTTAATTCCAATACAAGCTGTAGTTTTCCTCGGCATCGTCTAAGAGGCGCCTGTAGACACTGTAGACATTGAAGAAGAACTCAAACAATTGGAGCATAATGTTACGTTTTTCGTCGGTTCCGTGTGGATAGAAAGTCACAATTTATTTAAACACAATTTATTTAACACTAATTAACAAACAATAACGATTAAAAGAAAACTTAAAGAACTATTTATAACTTATTTACAATTTATCTAATTATTTATCTAACAGCAATTTATTTTGAATTAGCGCGGCGATTGTAACTCTACGCGTCGATCGGTTATTTTCTCTCTCTCCTCTTCAGATTTCGGGCATCGCTTATATATGAGAGAAACAGACAATCCAGACTTATCTCGAAAATTCTTAGCGGCGTTCTTCGAACGTCGGTTGGCGTATGAGTCATAGCAGGCGCCTGAAGCCTAAGGCCGACTTCACACGGTACGGGTCCGCAACAATAAGAATGAAACTAAAGAATGAAATGAAGATACAGTCCTGGACACCACAAGAGTCTGCAGTATACCGGGTGGTGCGTCGGCATTGGAAACATAAATATGAAATCCCATGCAAACTGTCCAAATATTGACTCCCCTATTAATTTTACAGCAATTTTGGGCAAGCAGTTTTTAATTAATTTAAGAAAAACTGCATCTATTTTTAAATTAAAACTGTACAGGTAACAATGCAAAACCAGGCAAATGCCAACATATCTTAAGTTGTCAACTTATAATGTCACTGTAAATTATATTTCCTAAACCTTTTTTTTGTCTAATATGAAAATATGAACAAGTTTTAAATTACAGAAATGCATATCGGGCACACAAACCCGAGGTACCTATAACATATACGATACTATAATATAGTACGTTCACATACAATCATAGATTGACAACTTACGGTATGTTGACATTTGCTGGTTTTGCATTATTACTTGTTCAGTTTTAATTTAAAAATAATTACAGTTTTTCTTAAATTAGTTAAAAACGGCTTGTCCAAAATTGTTCAAATTTGACATGTGTTTTCAGCATACGCAGATCTCGCTGTAAAATCAACAGGGCATACAATATTTGGACAAAATTTGCACGGGATTTACTATGTTTCCAACGCCAATGCACCCCCCGGTATATTATCCACATACATACTAGTAGAAATATTTTTCATATACAGGGTGTCTCAATAATCCGTGGACATAGAACTACTACGTATTTTTGGAATCAAAATAAGTTCATTGAACACAATTTACCTCTGTACAAAAGTGCTTTGTTTGTCTGCTAGAAGGCATCAAAATTTAAAAAAAAACCACCACATTTTTTCAGATATTTTAAAAACCGTTATTCCGATTGGAATGAGATTTTGGGTGTCGATATGTTTTGCTAAGTGCTTTAACATTTGACTTTTCTAAAAATCAAGAAAAAGTACGGGAAGGGTCAAAACTACCCCTATCTCTACATAAATTTTAGTATAAATATTTTCCGACTCTATCGAAGGCCAAATTTCTTTTCTTAATATGGTCCCTCAATCATTTACTACATTTTTTGTCTTTTGTAAAAAAAACGCCACCGTGCAAACTTTTTGAGGAAAAAAACATATTTTTCCAAATCTGACTTATAAAAAATGTTTTTTGCCACATCGAGCTATGGAAGCGCATAAAATCTATTATGCTCTAATAATCTAGTTGGCAAAAATATGGAATTTTGTGTTAGTATCACAAATAACATTTGACAATAGGCTTCATAAAAAGCTTAAAAAAATAATAATTTTTAAATTAATTAACGTTCGGGTTTTGATGCCCTCTAACGGACAAACGAAGCACTTTTGTGTAAATGTAAATTATGCACAATTAACTTATTTTGATTCAAAAAATACGTAGTTACGTGCACGGAATATTACTCTCTGTATATAATAGCACACACCTCCCTGTATATTTTGTAGGTCTGTTTTGGAAAAATAAATTCTCCAAATTTTTTTTCTCAAAAACTCTGCGATGTAGCGTTTTTCTACAAGAGATAAAAAGTGTAGTAAATACTATATAAAAGCATTATTTTACGAAAAGAAAATATGTCGTCGGTGGAGTTGAAAAATATTTATACTAAAATAATTTATGTAGGGGTGAGGTAGTTTTCACCCTTCCTGTACTTTTTCTTGATTTTCGTGAAAGTCAAATGTTAAAGTACTTAACACAACATAGACACCCAAAATCTCAATCAAATCGGAATAACGGTTCTTAAAACATTTAAAAAAACGTATTTGTTTTTTTAAAGTTTGATGCCCTCTAGCGGACAAATGAAGCACTTTTGTATAGAGATAAATTGAAAATTGTGTCCAATGAATTTAGTTTGATTCCAAAAATACGTATTAGTTCCAGAGCTGCAAGCTCACAGAAAACTTAAGTTTTTTTTGACTTAAATCATTTGATTTTAAGTCATATTTCGAAAGCTGACTTAAAATTTAAGTCATTTTTCGAAAAATAAAATATTTTGAATTTTTTTCACAAAAAAAATCTTAGACGTGTTGCATTTATTTAAGACTCACCCTGTATAATTCCAATTACAAAAAGAATGTTTTAAATATCAATGTTTCCAAATAAAATAAAAAGTATATCTTTTCAGACATAAACAGATATACATATATGATGACTTCAACAAATGGCTCAGCATGTACTAGTAATCAACATGGTAAAAAGAATAAATGCAACCAAATGCTCCAACGGACTTGGGACTATTTAGAAGACGGAGAAGCACCAGGAACGCCGAGAACTCCTAGAACTTCAACCACACCAGGTATCTTTTATACCACTCAAATATGAAAACATGTAATAAACAATGTAAAAACATAATACATGTTTTATGACGTCATATTTTTAGTAACTGCAATATAGATTTAAATATTGTTTCATTCACTTTACATATTTATTTTTCCATTCATATTTTATAAATTTTCATTCTTTTTCTTATACATATTGCTATACATATAAATTGCTTAGATATTTACAACAGCTCTATGTTAGTGTTGAAGTTTACTTAATAGTTCCATTTTTTATTCAGAGTTCATAGAGAATAATATCGTGGTGTCTTTTTATTTAGATCTTCGAACTTCGACCACCCGGCTGTTAAAATAAAAAATAGTGGTCTTTATGTAACTGATTCTGAATTAAGTAATCTTTGTGTTTATTGAATTTAAAATTTAAAAGTGCCGCAATTTTCAATTGAGTACAAGCAAAATGAAAATTGATTTTAATTTCCTTTCATATTTTTTATATTTTAGTTAAAAATTTGTGAAATTAACTTACTCTTATACACGAGCATGTATATAATTTTCTGTAATGGTTCTAAAAATAATAAAATAAATAAATAGTCCTCAAATACTTTAATTATAAATTATTTATATTAAACAGGAAATGCTTGAATTTATAAGTACATATTATTATTAGGATCTACTTAGACCGAACGCACACAGAAAGAGTAAAACTGTTTTACTCAAAAACGTTTTTGTGCGGATCCATCAGCCATCTCATTCTTTGTATTCTTGCTACTCCCGTTAAACTCAGTGCACGATGTAGTTGATTTATTTCTTCGTTTGTTCTTTCGGTCCACCATGTTGTCTTTCTTTCCTCTAAAAATATTCCTCAGTATTTTCCTTTCCCAAATCTGTTTGCCTCAAATTTTCCGTTGCATTGACCATCCACATTTCACATACATATAAAACTATTGGTCCAATTATTCTTTGAGAGCCTATACATACATATAAAAATAAAACATGTAAATTGTAAATACTTAAATGATACCAAACTTTGGCTTGCTATTCCGTAAATTCCCATTATTTCTGAATGCAACTTCGTCCAAAAAAGAGTTGATAGACAGAGTTCAAAACAGAGACTAAATCTTTCTCGAAGATTACTATCATTATTTATTTTGAATAATACCCATACTAACCTATAGTTTGTACCTGTGCAAAGTACAGAGACTGGCATGTATCTGCATAACAGGTGCCATGAGAACATGTCCAACAGCAGCAATGGAGGTCATTCTAGACCTAACACCACTGCACAATGTCGTCGGTAGTTATGCCAATGCGACAATGATTAGAATGGTCATTGACGGAAACAGTACTGGGAGAATTATCAGGTCACGGGGTTGGAACACCCACAAAAAGAAAATTCCACTTCTCCAACTCCCAGTGGATGACATACCAAGAATTTACAACTTTGAGAAACACCTCACTGTAGTATTGAGTAATAAAAAGGATTGGAAGAAAGAAACGCTTACTCAGCGTAACTCAATATAAAAGACCATATACCATCACGTGGTATACTGATGCTTCCAAAACCAAAGTAGGGACAGGGATAGGAGTATTTGGACCGAAAACTAAATACTCCAAACCAATAGGCACCTACCCCAGTATCCTTCAGGCAGAAATTTACGCTATCGAAAGATGCGTACAATTTATCTTAGATAGGAACTATCGAAAACAGGAAAGCCGTCCTATCCGATAGTCAAGCAGCACTTAACGCGATCAACTCAGTAACCATTAATTCGAAGTTGGTCAAAGAATGCCTAGAGAAACTCAACAAATTAGGCAAAGAAAATAAAGTCCTCCTACTCTGGGTGCCTGCTAACCAAGGGATAGAAGTCAGTGAAAAAGCAAATGATCTAGCTAGAAAAGGAGCGAACACTCCACTAACTGGACCAGAACGGTTCTGTTTCCAAATGGGAACCAACTGAAAGCGAAACTGAAGAATCTGGAAGACTCCATCCATAACTTGGAATGGGTGTCCTCCAACGGTCTAAGACACTCGAAAAAGTTCCTCAGAACTTACGACCGAGAAAAATCAAAGGTTTTCCTTTTTTTGAGTAAAAACAATCTTCGAATTGTCACGGGGTTTCTAACAGGACACTGTCTCCTCAACGAATACCTCAGTAGGCTGAAGCTGAGAAACAACGGCGAATGCAGATTTTGTGGGGAAAATGGGGAAACACCAGAACACCTTATCACTGAGGGCGCCGAGACGACGACCATTCGTGTCATGAACTTTGGTACGTCTGATGTCGAGGATGGAGAGCTGGCCTCTGTGGAGCCGTCTCAGACACTGGCTTTTGTTAAAGCCCTAAGACTGTATGATGAGTTATAACTCGTTATAACTCAAGGAAGGGGAACACACAATAGATCTATAAGGTCGCGGTGATTAACTCCCCTCCTAAACATTCTACATTCTACAACCTATAGTTTTGATTGCAAATATGTAGATTACTATCTACATATTGCAATAAAACAACAAGGGGAATAAATGTTCAAAATGTTTTCAGTAACCTTTCTAAGTCAACAGATTATAAATTAATAATCAAAATATACCTAATAATAAAGAGCAAATCTTCGTCTTATACATACATTTTTCGTTTTTTGTACTTTTAATGGCCGTTTAAAATTCAATAAACAAGATCAACATAAATGCATTCAGTATTCGAACATTAACATTGTTAATAAAGATTAATTAGCCATTGCAAGTGGTTTCTTCAGGTATATTGCATTAATTTCAAGTACATTTACAAGTTTAATAATTCGCAGATAAAATCTAAATATCATCGAATAATTTCTTAGCTATTCTTTTTTTGGAGCTTAAGTACTTACCTACCTTGCTAGTTATTTACAACCACTTATAAAGTATTTTAACCTAAATATCTACATACTGATGCAATAGTTATAAATCTGTAAATCATTATTATGTCGGCACTCTCAATTTTATTTCTCGATATCGTATCATAATTTGTATTTATATTGTTATACATTATTTTGTAATCACTTCATTTTATGCATATTAATTAAAGAACTAAAGACATAGACAGTTATTTTATCTGTTTAAAAGTAATTTAAAATAATTTAAAAAACAAAGAAACTGAAGAGCTACAAGATGATATCTACAAATTTCCATGAACATGACCACTAAAATATTAAACTATTAATTAAATAAACCATAAAATAAGTTTATTTTCTTTATAGCGGTTCCTCAATAAGTGCACATGTGACATGTGTACGTAAATCCCCTAATTTAATGCCTCTTCTTAAGAAAAAAGTATTTTAAATTTTTTCGTTCATATATTTATTCCAAAAACTATTCGTCATAGCATTTACCCATACTCACTATGCGAGTTGATTGATTCGTCCATGCGCGCATAGTGGGTATGATGCGGTTTGTCGCTGGTCATTTCTGTAGAAATTCGTCCATTGTGTTCGTGATATTTCTTTTGATGGTTCGCCCAAAAACATACCTTTCGCCGAACCGCCGGCGCCGCACAACTCATCCCATCATTGACGCATCCCATAGACGAATCGTGAAGCTTTTATTAGAGAAGATTTATTAGAGAATTATTATTCTACTGCGTTGCCTGAAAGCTGCTGTTCATTGCCCATCGGAATATGATTGGTCAAACATTGGCCACCCGCACCAAAGAATATTATAGTTAACACTGTTAACACAGAATTATCTTTGCCCGCACCCTTTATTCCACGCAACACTCTAGAGACGTTTTATGTAGAGGTGGGCAAAGATTGAACGAGACGTTCATTTGAACGAGTATTAAAAGTGAATGGTGAGATTCGATTCACTGCTTAGAATATGGTTCGTTCAATCTTTTATTGTTAATCTAAGGTTCAATCGAATCGTGGCCAGCACGGATCCTAACATTTGAACGATGAGCCGTAAAAAAGAGTCGTTAGAATTGATTCGTTGCTTACGTTATGGTTCGTTCAATTGAATCGTGGCCAGCACGGATAAAAAAAATTTGATTGCCAAACCAAAAAATTTGAACTATGAGCAGTAAAAAAGAATCGTAAGAATTGAATCGGATCACAATGCGATCGTTCGTTCCTACGGCGCGGCGGTGATATAGGCATTGAGTCAGGAGTATTTGTAAGGTATTTAATTTTCACGTTAATATTTTTATTAAAATAATATTACCGACTATAAACCATTAAATGTCGGACTAAAAGACGAAATCGTGTTTTTATGCAACTCCAAAAAAATATTGTTGGCCTCTGCTCAATATAATAAAAAAATGGCGTCAGCGATGGTTATAAAATTAAGAGCTGTCATTTTAATATGTAAAATTATATGGGGAATGTCATCGATGTTCATTTCCAAGCCAACTGAACGCCATTTTTTTCGATCTTGCGGTATTATATACTATTTTACTTTGATTATTAAATCGGAATTAAAATATGGCTCTAAAAATATTAAATTGGTATTAAGAAGTCTTTAATGCCCGGTGGCGTAGAGGTACAGGCTCTCGTCTACCAATCTCAAGGTGTGGATTCGATTCCCACACCCGGCATTTCATCAGCCGACTATTTTTATTAAAATAAAAATAGTTTGGGTACCTAGGTCGACTCAGCCTTAAATGAGTACTTGGGATTCACAATCCAGAGGTAATAATAGGCGGTTGAAGCGTAGTGCTAGCCACATTACCTTCCTTCTATACAGAACGGCTCCAGTATAGCAAGTTGTACCTTGCTACTCCCAAGGGAGCTACTATTATTATATTATATTAAGAAGTTTTTAATAAATAGTATATGTATATGAATTGGATTGGTAATTTAATATTATTGGTAAAATAATCAAATTACGCCAGTACCAGTGTCATAAAGTGTTGAAAAACAAATGAAAGAACTGTATATTACATTTTCTGGTCCCTTAAGTAATTTTCCGACCAAGTTATCACCGGTAGTGCCAGTTACGATTCTTGTTTTTATGAAACGTAAATTGTGCATGTGGTTAGTTCAAATGAAC